GGTGGTGAGGGCGGTGGTGGAGAGCGAGGGGGTGGTGGAGAGGGAGGTGGTGGAGAGCGAGGCGGGGGTGGAGAGCGAGGGGGTGGTGGAGAGGGAGGTGGTGGAGAGCGAGGGGGGGTGGAGAGCGAGGGGGTGGTGGAGAGGGAGGTGGTGGAGAGCGAGGGGGTGGTGGAGAGCGTACGGGGTGGTGGTGGAGAGCGAGGGGGTGGTGGAGAGGGAGGGGGTGGTTGCGGAGAGCGACGGAGTGGTGGTAGAGAGCGAGGGCGTGGTGGAGAGGGATGTGGTCCGACCCCACAGTCCCCCCCTTTGCTACAGCATGCGTCATCTGGGCACTGAGCACAGACTGAATCTGGTGGGCATGGTGGTGAGAGGGCGCAGACGCCCAGCCATCGATCACCTACTGCTGCCACCAAGACAACAAAAACGAGGAAATAAAGAGGAGGACGAGAGGAGGCCATTTCTTCTTCTTATTCTTCCCCCCGTTTTGCTTCTCGAATGCAGCACGCATGCCTTCATGTAGAGTAAAAAGCAACAGGGAGGGCGGATGGTGGGCAAAAGATAGTTGAGCGTCTTGTAAGCATGTGTCCTAAACCACGTCCGTCACATGCATGGAGTACGACCCTGTGGACCACTCGGTGGAGGTCCATTTTGACCACGTCCATCACATGCATGGAGTACGACCCTATGGACCACTCGGTGGACGACCATTTTGAGGTGTCATAACTTGAATTGTTCTGTGCCGGGGGAATTCACAACACGATTTGGTGGTGAAGGAAACAAAAAGTCGATCATTATACGAAGGATTGGACAATAAATGGCCTTTTACCCCGCCTTTTTTGTGGATTGCAGACTCGGTGATCCGGGTGGTACTCCTTCGTTCTGATCCGGCTGGGATTATTTATGGTAGGCTGAAAATAATGGAGAAATAAAAGGAAAAAGAAAATAATTTTGAAACGACGTATTGCTAAAGAAAACAAAAAAAAGTTTAAATCTCCAAATTTTGAAACTAAAAATTCCAATAAAAATTTAATGGTTCAAAAACCCTTTTAAAAATAAATAAATAAAATCTAACAATAAGAAGGAAATCATTAAAATCAATTGAAATATCATATCTAAATAACTCTTAAATGTAATTTAAATTAGGTCATATCGAGCATTTCATAAATTCAATATATATATATATATATATATATATATATATATATATATAT